TTGTGCTTCACGCGACTTGGCTCCGTCGTTTCAGCATTTCGCCCCTTCCAGTGGGAGCGCGGCTGTGGTACAAGGCCCGCGACGGATTATGGTGGACAGGACGTATTGGTGCTCATCAGGACGGCTCGTACATCGTTCGATTTATGGATGACCCGGGCCCCAGCGTTCTCCCTCTGCCTGCGCACCTCTACTCCACCCGCCTTGGACGCCGTCTGTGGATCGTGGTGTTTAGAAAAACATCGCTCGCGCCCTTTGGGCGACGCCCGGGATCGCACTCCTCCCATTACTGACTCCTTACCGTCGGCTGTTCCCAATATCTCTTCCTAGCGTCGCCGTTTTAGGTTCGAGTTGGTCTATCTTGGATTTTGTTTGTTTGTTTGTTTGTTTGTTTGTTTGTTTGTTTGTTTGTTTGTTTGTTTGTTTGTTTGTTTGTTTGTTTGTTTGTTTGTTCGTTTGTTTGTTTGTTTTTCTTTTGTTTTTGTTTTCTCCGTGTGGTTTGCCTCTGAACACTTGGAAAAAGAGTTCCCCAAGTTTCGTCGGTGTTCTTTGCCTCTGAACACTTGGAAAAAGAGTTCCCCAAGTTTCGTCGGTGTTGTTTGCCTCTGAACACTTAAACAACGAGTTCCCCAAGTTTCGTCGGTATGTTCGCCTCTGACCAGGCAAACACCGATTTTCTCGTGTTTCCCTTGGTTCGCCTTTTGCCAACTAATTTTTTTTTAGCTCCACCGTGTCGCCGAAGTGTCATCTAGGCCTGTTACTTCGGGCTTCCATCCCGTGGCGTCGTCTTCTCCCGTGGACATTCGTCGTCATCCACACTTCGTTCTACTTCGTCTCCGTCATCGCTACATGCAGGCGACGCCTTCATCATCGTCGAGCCCTTGAGTCGTTGTGTTGTTGTGTGTATCTCTGCGACTTTTCTGTGTTTGAGTCTTTCTGTGTTGTGCGTTGCCAGCGAGCCAGGGCAAGTTCGTCAGATCGCTTCTCAGACGTTGATCATTCATGCTTTGCATTCTTGGTTTTCTTTAGGTCTTGCCGTGGCCGCCTCTCTATACGGTTTGAGTTCTCTGACACGCTCGAAATTGTTGTCAGTGTGTTCGCCTGTCATTCATTTCTCCTGCCCTTCTTTGACGCTTTCCTAGATTGGTTGCGTTGATATCTTCCCCTTCACGTCGCGTCCAGTATCAAAGGCCGTATTCGTTCGGAAATTTGCTTGGGTTTTGAGTTTTGTTGCCGTATTTTGGGGCTCTCTCGGGTAGTCGCCCTCCTTCCTCCCATTGTCATACGCGCGGGGGCGCGTAAAAGAGTGGTGTGTGGCGTTTAGGTTTTGACTTTATTTCTCTTGCCGTCGTCTGTTGCGGATAGCGTGCTGTGCAGCACTACATATTTTTCTTGGCCTTATCCCTTCATTGGTAGGAGCGTTGTCATTGAGATGTCGATGTGTTGTCTCGTGGCCGTTCGCATCCATCTTTCGTCTCAATGATGGTGTGGGGGTTGATTCGGGATGTTTCTACAATTCACCCTCCTTTTTGGATGGTTTGTGAAGAGTCATATCTTCGATTCATGAGCATCAATCGTCAGCTAAAATCTTCGTTGTAGCTTTTAGGATTTGAGCATTGATTTGAGTATAGAATCTGCATATATGATATTCAGGGTGGGCTAGTGTTAAGGAGTGTGGCTGCTAGCTTAAATAGGGTACATCTTATTGTTGATAGGATGTGGGTCGGTCCCAGGAGGTATACCCTTCAGACACCTACCCTCTTAGGATTTGTCTAGTCTGCGTACCCCCTGAGGTGAAGTTGGATCCCCACTTCACCTCAGACCCTTGCTGATCGTCTCTCAGCAATAACAAGCAACTTTCTCATCTCAACGTGATCGTGGACAAGCGTGTCAACGACAGAACCTACCTTCATCTATCTCTAGGAGCAAGCTACCACCCACGGCTCCCCCTCCTTTAAAACAGGCGCCCTTGCTCAACCATATTTCGAGAAAAAGAAACCGCCGTCACCGCAGCAGGGACGGAAGAGAATTCCTCGTGTAGGACGCAGCTACTGTCGGCATCTACGCATTGCATCAACGATATCCGAAAATAATGTGGAAGGGCAGAGGGCTGTAGCGCCCCAGAATAGGTGTTATGGGTGGATCCGTTTAGCCTAGACTACCGTAGGTTGCATGATGTAAGATATCATACCCCCTGGATCGATTTTCGAAGCTCGAAAACTCGGGAAGAAAAGCAGTGACGGTGCCGAAAATGGCGGCGTTGGAACCGTCTCGTCGAGAGCTTTCCGCAAACGATATCCTTTGATTCCGACATCTTCTTCGTCGTGGAGTAATCGAGCTTTGAAAATCGGTCCAGGGGGTGTGATATCTTTCGCAACCTTCGGTACTCATCGTTGTTTGGCGACATCGGGCTGTCGTTAGCACCCCCGGGCCCAACTATAGCCGTGTCAAGAATGGAAACTGTTCGTCACGAATCGGTGCAATCATCATCCAATATACATCATCCCTCGCACGGACGGGGGCGTGACATAATCCAGACGGTGGTTCATTCCGTCAACCGGTCGTTGGGAAGGACGGGGGATTGACTGGCTACATCGGGCGCTTCGCGATGTGGACAACGCCGTGCAGCGAAGAGCAGCAGGAGTGACGAATCCACGATGAAAACACCCACTACACTTCGATCGGAAACACACATGAAGAAAACCGGAGCAATAGCACCAACTCGCTCAAGGCGACCGAATCGACTTGGAAAGATCATGGAGGCGCTCACGCGTTGCTTCGACGGGGTACAAGACCCCTCGGCATGCTTGACGACGAGCTATACGCGCGCGGCTCATAGAAAGAACCAGAAACGAATGCTCGTGCAGTAACATGACATCTGTTTCGCCGTGGCCATTAGTCGTTTCCCACTTAATCTCATCCACCACCTGGCGTAGACATGTACATGTAGTTGTTCCCCGAGTGAGATTTGATCACAACCGGATACTTGTGCTCTGCTTGGTTGGGCGAAGGTCCCAGGATTCAAGCAAAAGACGATCAAATACAGATTTGTTCGAGCGAAAATAAAGACGGGTGCTCGAAAACACCCAGAGCGATTAGCAACGGAGCCACCGACAACATAAGACGCTCTATGCAATCACACAACGAGAGACATCGGACACTCAAAATACACAGAGGGCGGCCAACACGGCGATCGCGGTACGGCAGCCTGCTAGACTTGCACTATCTGCCTTCTACAAGTATATCTTGACCTCACAAGTCACAGGGAGGCCAGACGAACAAGAAACTCGCAACAAACGCCCCCAACACACAAACGACCTGCCTGATGTTAAATCATCGTTGCCAAGCATATGCTGCGTGGGCGGGCACCTATCAACGGCGCTCGTGCGGTGCGCAACACACGGAGCACATGAAAATGTTGGTAAATGGACTCGGAGTGACGCAGCGTGGAGACATGGAGAGCAGCTGCGCGCGCCACAGCAAGCAAACCGGCCAAGTACAGTATACACGGAAAAAAGACGACGACGACGCCAATCACGTCGACTGACTGACTACTACGGCGGCAGCGTGGCAGATGCGCCACATGCGATTGCAAATCCAACTATTTAGGTGGTACATGTACGCCATACATCCAGCGAAAAGTATGGTACTACTCCGCAGGGGGACGGGGAAGCATCATCAATCCCTTATTTTCCAGTACAATACTCTCTCGCCAACACGACCGCTAGACTTTTGCTGTTTACGACCGCATTACTCAATAAACCATGCAAAGATAACTTCCCAACAAACCATCAAGCACCGATTCCAGACCCTCCCCCCATTCCCATCACACCGCCGCGACAGACATGGAAACCATTGGAACTCCAGCCGAATGAGCCACCCACACGTACGGTTAAAACCCGATACTATTTGTTAGTAGCCTATAACACGTAGTACGCATACATATTTCTTCGTGGACTAGCCCCCCTCCCAGCAAGTACAAAGTTGTGAAATCTAAGCCCAGCTTACAACAGGACAACGCGCATGCACCAAACTCCAGAAAAGGGGGCACACAACTCCCACGATACCGCTACCAGCGTGGTTAACTAAATTACTCCCTTGACTTCGCCGTGCAAAGTACCTGCTGCGATTTCGGCCCCTCGCATTAACTTTCGTGATCGTGAGATGTGTGCGTTCGTTCAATGGATGTAATGGGACTTGATTAGCAAAAAAAAAAACATTTTCGGCAAGATGACTTTAAAATACGGTATCATACATGTGTAATCCCCCACGCCTGCATGACAATCCTCCCCTGCAGACCAGGGTTGGGGATGGACTTCAACACCAACACCACCCTGGTAAAGTAGTTGTTTCGCAGGCTTTTCCTCCAACCCTCCCCATCCCCTGTTTGCAGCAGCCCTTGCATCCTGTTATTTTATTTTTTTCCTTTCATGGAGGGCTACATTTACTCCACCCGAACCTGAACCACAAACATCTCGCCCTACAGCAGTAAGAACGCTCGACACCCACCGCAGTTTTGATTCTCCCTCACGGGGGTAGCTAGCGCAGCTGTCATAGCTACAATAGCGTTGCTGCCGCTATGGCTGGCTTTTGCATGAACCAAACACACGAACAACACCAAAAAACAACCAACCAAAAGAGCCGTACGGCCTTCCTTCACCATACAATGCCACATATGATACCAACGCATGCTCGTGTTTCTCGACCATGAAAAAACACCTGCCACATACAAAACATGAAGATATTAATATCACTATTGTAGACGTCTGCCTCTCTCTCCGCAAGCACCTGCCTTCAACTCCCGAAACCTCGCTCCCATGCACTCTACTCTCGAAAATACAACTGTTCTGCGGACACCCGTGTGCGCCGCTAGCGCCGCTGTCCGGAAGCGATCGCCACAGACGCGTTAACCCTATAACCACCGCCAAATCAAAGACCCCCGGCCCGCCCATCCACCACCCCAGTTCTATATACTTGGATGGAAAAGCGGCTGGGACGCCGCCCTACGCCTGCCGCAGACGCTCAAATGAGGCCGGAAGACTCGCCCCCCCGGCCATGTCCCCCGACGCCGGCGGGGAGTCGGACCCTTCCTCCTCCACCCTGGACAACGCCACCACCCCACGACCGACTTCGGCAGCTCCCGCTGCTGCGCCGCGAGCCGATCCGACCGCCATGGAAGGCCGCGGGACCCAGGGGCCGAAGAGAGCGGGAGCTGACTCACCGCCCCCGAAGACACCGGACGGTTCCGACGCATTGAACGCGGACAGGTTGGACCGCGCAGCTCCGCCTCCTCCACGTGCGGCGGCATCGGGAGTTCCGCCCAGGGAGGGTTTCGACGACAGGTTGTCAGAGGGTGATTTCCCCTTGGAACCGTTTGCCGCGAAATACGAGTCTGAATAAACACAACGAAAACCGGGGGGGGGGCAGAGGGGTGAGAGGCGAGGTGTTTCACGCTCCTGAGTGGCAGCGTCTGTGGGGAATGCCGACCATTCTCGCAACATTTAGATACCGCTTCATTCACAAGTAGACACCAGGGACCAAGGGGAACCAGGCTGAATTTAATAGGAACAACCCGTGAAACCAACACACATCCATCAGGACAACAAAAGGGCACTGCTGTGCTAGACGCGTAAAGCATAAAAGACGCAGCAGACCAATGCCGATATCATGGAGAAACGCGCACGGGGCCTATTCAGAAACGGCCTGACTCACTGTCCCAGGTAATCGTCCGGCTGAGGCGACCGCTCCTGTGGCTCTGCTTCTGGATCAGCGCCGAAACCTCCTCCAACAGCCCAGAGTTGCGCGTCCTCTCCTTGCTGAGCTCCGACTTCTGGTCGTTCAGCTGTCTTTCCATCTCGCTCTGCAGGCAAGGGTACCGTAGGAGCTCCGCAGCAGACGGCCGGCGTGCTGGATCGGGCTGCGGAGGCACGAGTTGGGAACGGTGGGAATTTGGGGGTGCTTCATGACTCGAGGTGTGTGTGTGGGTAACCGCCTTGGTGTGCGTGTGGAGTACATGGGAAGCTCTCGTGTTTTGGCTTATAACCTTGGCAAATTTCACCTCTCAGGAAACCAAGATAGAGTTTACAGGATTTCGGTTCTTTGTAGGGGGTACTACAACTCTTTGATTATTTCGTTGTTTATTCTGGATACGCCATCCCATCCCTGTATTCTGGACGTTTCATTGGTCTTGAACAAGTTCCGGTACAGTTTTCTCCACGCACCGGCCGGCGTCACAACAGGAGGATTCCCCTAACGATTGTCAGCAGAAGGCTTCAGCCTTTCCCTCGTCGATCGTCAAGCTGAATTTTCGTACACACGACTTTTTCCCTTCCAATGAGCACCACACAACCTCATGTTCTAAGGGTGGCACGACGTTTCATCGCTAAATACCAAAGCCATGCGGTATCGCCACAAAAAGATAAATAGAAATCTCATGTTCTAGCCGAATCTGCCTAGTGCTGGAGTGGCACGAGCCTATGCGGTATCGCCACAAACAAGACCAAACTTACGTCCATCATCTCAAGCAGGGTCTTGGAGAGCTCCGCCGGGAGCCCCATCGGCATGCCCGCCTTGCCGGACCGAAGGCGGTGCCACTCTTCTCCGTTAGGCGGCAAAGGCCTGCCCGAGATTATCTCGTAAAGGGTGATACCCAGCGAGAACACATCACACTGGAGGCGGCGGGCGGGCGGCGGCGGAAGGTCTCAGCACGGCGGCACAACGCTCGTACAGTCTGGTGAATAGCGGGCTCCGCACACAGCACACATGGATCATGATAGAATTTCGGATCAGCCGAAAATAAAGCCAGCCCTGCACACACTGTACCAATGGCAGGCCTGCTACATCAACTGTCACAAGTAGGAGCCGGCCAACAAAAGTGCGAGAGAAAAAAGACACACAGGACAACGTCACATTGGACTATATATGTACTGCTGCAAGCAAAAAATACCTTGGTGAGGTTTGAGTGGTCGTCGTTCAAGAGCTCCTTGGACATGTACCGCGAGTCTCCCTCCACGACGTCCGTGCCGGACCTAACGTGCACAGGGGTCACCAGCCCGAAGTCTCCCAGCTTGTACTGGCCGTTCTTCACGAAGATGTTCCCCGGCTTTGCACACGCCAACCGTCAAGTGGAAGCACGGAATACAAGCAGAAGGGCAAACGCCGTCGATGTCGACAGCGGAAGGGTCAAACCGATCAGTGAATGACCTTTGAAGGACATTACATTTGTATGCTACTAATACATACAATCCTAAACAAAACAACGAAGCAGTACCGTGGTGTAACAGCGGTCCCTGTATGCCAATAAAACCGCATGGTTACGGCCCGTCGCCCTGCACAAGGCCTTCGAAATCGCGCTACACACAGATGGAAATTCAAGTTGTTTAAAATCTTACTCGAATAAAGGCCGACCCAACCCGTTGGCACTACCCAGGGACCACCTTTCCGTGCTGGGAAACCACCAACAAAAACACCAACTCATGAAGTATCATGATGTCGGTGGGATGCGTACCTTGATGTCGAGGTGAACGAGCTTGTGCTGGTGCAGAATCTCCAGCCCCAGCAGCGTCTGCCTCAGAAACGCGTAGACGCCCGATATCTCTAGGCGGTGCCCGCTCTCCAGCTGCTTCTCCAACGAGGTCTCGCACAGCTCGGTCTGAATGTACAGACGCTCCTCCTCGATCCACGCCTGGCAGCGAAAAGCACACACGAAAATACGGAAACGAGGATTCAGAACACGTCTGTATGAGATTCCTCAGGTTACGCCATTGGAAAGGAAGCCCAACACAAGAACGGCATAAATCGCTGACTTCCGTCATCTCCATGGGGGCGTACAGCGAGCGTGACTAACCTGTGGCATGCACACCGTGTACGAGCCTCTCGGACACACACACGAATTCTCCCCGATGATTTCCCTCCCGGGGTCCCAGACCTACATGCATGATTAACACATCTGCTGCTGATGATGTTCCAATGGCCTCTACATGTGTTTTCCGTTCGTGGCAGCTCTGACGATTGTCCATATGTTCTGCAGGTTTGCTGGCGCAGTCGATGCTAACAAAACAAAACACACGCACACACATGTCCACCACAAACACGCTGCTGCTGCTGCTGCTGCTGCATCATATGCACACCTGGTGGTAGCGAACGATGTTGATCGTCTCCTGGGCAGAGTCGCAAACGGCAGCGAGGGCGTACACCTCCATGAGCATGTTTTGCCGGTCCGTCTCGCCCTTGAAACGCCGCCTGCTGCACTTCACCGCGTACAGGCAGCCGTCCACACGACTCCGCACCTTTCGATCACAACCCCCCCAACAGCAGCAACAAAAAATCAGAAAGGCCGCAATAGGTACTTGGGTTTACAGGAGCAAGCCGCGTCTTCTGTATGACGGAAAGCTGTTGGTCCTCTTGACGTCTACACACCGACAAGGTAAAGGATGGCCCCTGTGCAACAGTGCGAATACCAAGGGAGAGATGACTTACCGGCTAGCACTTATTCAGGGCGCCTCAATATTGTTCAGGATATGAGATTCCCTGAATATTCCGCCTGGGCCATGCGATTTCACCGGCCTAATGATAGGAGACATATTCGACTGCTAGCATACTTCAAGCAACCACCAGCCCGAAACATGTATTTAGCACATGGGCAACAGACAAAACCAAGCGGCAGGAGACGCGCCTTGCCCACCCAGACAAACAGAAAAAAAGGGATAGGACGCCCGTGAACACGCACACGATGAACGAAGAAGACACACCTTTTACACAAAAAAAAAGGAGAGGGGCAGACGCACCTTACACATGAATGCACATCACGAAAAACAGCAAACAAGGGGGGCTCACCTTGTACACTGTCCCGAAGCCCCCCGTGCCAATGATCTCCTTAACCTCGAAATCGGTAGCGAACCTGCCCCGCGCCACCTTCTCCCCGTTCCCGACGTTCAGAGACACATTCACGCCTCCGCCGGCACTAGAAACCGGGGACATTGGGGCGGTGTCCCCCCCCAGCCTCATGGCCTCCGCGCTGTTCTTGCCGCGGCATGGGGTTACCGGCACGAAGGCGGCCACGTCACAGGGGCTGGGATTGGTAACGTCCTGGACTGTTTTCTTGCCAGCGGTGGTGGGGACGGAGGAGGAGGAGCAGGTGCTGCCAACGCTTACCCTCCGCAGGAAGCTGATTGTTTCACACAGCGGGGATAGAAATAAGACGAGAGTAAGCGGGGAATCGTTAGAGACGGCGCGGGCTGACTCCGTGCATGTTGTTTCGTGTGTCTGGGGAGGGACAAAAAAGAGCACTCCATGGCGGTCGCAGACTTAGCATCAAGAGTAACGTATTGCATTAGTGCTCTTCTCTTGCTGCGTCTGGCGACGTTAGTGGGGGACAGGAAACCTGAGAAAAACGCGTTGCGCATACAACCAGTGGCTGATGCCATCACAAGTGTATTTGCTTTTAGTCGTTGACTTGCCGTATTGCGACCCGTATCATCATGCACACGGAGGAGAGAAAGGGGAATAGATCCAAGGGACAGAAGGACGGAACTGGTTCTTCAAACAGCAGACAGCCGTATCCCCGTAGAGGCAACAACGCCACCAAACCCCATTCAAACCCCTGGCGCAGCTGAAAAAAAAACAAACAGTCCTACAAACCGCGGCAGGATGCATAAAATGAAATACCACACCACACCGTTACCGACTGTCAAAGCTTGAGTACAGTGCAGGAAAAACAGCCAAGATGTCGAATATGGAGGCACTGGGATCCTCTCGTTGACAGCTCTAAAACGTGCATCATTCGATAACTGCATTCTCGTCGTCGTGGACTAACGTAATGCAGCTTTAAGAAACCCGTTCTCTGAAAAAAGGGAGGGTTTTAACTTGCGCCAAAAAGTTCGACCCTTGCCTGCCCTCGTCTGCTTTGCCTCCTCCTCGTCCCATCCCCGCCGTCATTGTCGCGAAATCTCCGACATCTCCGGTGTCCATCGGAGATCCGTCGGCGCCCCCAGTCACGGGCCCCCCGCAAGACAGCCGCGAGCGCGGTGCGGGGGCGGGCATGGACATCGCATCTCCCTGCCAGTTGGTTGCACAAAACAATATGAACGCACCGACGCAGGTTGCGGAGGACGGTTCAGTGCGTAGGAACAACGTAAGCGGCGGCGGCAGGGAATACGCCGTACATCGTGCTGTATCTGCCCGTGTGAAAGTAGCCGTTACACTTGGTTACACCCCAAGTGCGTCGATTTCGACACCAACACTAGCGATAGTCTTGTGACGCACTCTCAGTGCATGGCAACACGTCCTACTGACAGGTTACCGAACGGAGCAACCTCTACCGCTTAAAAAAAAAGGGGAGCAACCATGACAGCTTGGCAGGGTTCCACACAGAACGAAACACGTCTCTCATCAGCATCACGAACTATGAGACTAGAACAAACGTGACAGCCCTACGAATACAAACGCGCGCTCACGACGCACAGGGTACACAGAGGTCAGAACAACTCCCCGCTCGCACTACCAACACCAACGCAACACAAGGGCAACAAAGCAGTAAACTCTAGCTCCGACACAAGGGCGCAAAACAACACAACACAAGACACCTGAGCAACGTCTTCATCCCTGTCCGGCGAGAACGGGTTCCTGTTGCTGCGGAGCGGGGACTCCTCGCAGGCTGCTCGGCCCTGCTCTGCGCTCGTCTCGCGCCTGCCCTCCTCCGACATACGCCACCGCCCTACGCTCCTCCTCTTAACCGGCGATCCCTGAACAGCCGACCTGAAGTTTGATGCGTTCAGCCATACAAACGAGAGGACGAGCAAACAAAGGGGACAATAACAGCAGTTACAACACACGATATGCGTATTCTACGTGTGGAGGTTAATATCTTGGGGAGCTTAAATTGCGGGCCGGGGCGCGCGGGGGGGGGGGGGGGGGGGTTTCCCCCGGAAAACTTTTTGGGAACCCGGGGCCAACCGCCGAAAAATTGGGGCTTAATAAACCCCCCCCCAAAAAAAAATTTTCGGGGAAAAAACCGCGTCCCCCCAGTTTCCAAAACCAGCAGTTAAAGAAAGGGGGGGGGGGGGGGGCTTTTTAAAATTTGCCCCGGGAAAAAAAGGGGGACCCCTAAACCCCCCCAAAACCAAAAAATGGGGGCCCCCCAGGGGCCCCTTTAATGTGGGCCCCCCCCAAAAAACCCAAAAAAATTTTCCCCGGGGGGGGAAACCCCGGGGTCCCCCCCCCCCGTTTCCCAAATGGTAAAACCCCGGGAACCCCCCCCGGGAAAAAAAC